ACTACTACTACTACTACTACTACTACTACTACTACAACAACTACTACTACTACTAATAATAATAATAAATACAAACCCCGACCCCAAACAGGCATAATACTACCAGACACGGCCTCATTTAGGCAGGTCAAATCGGCCTTGAACTTTCAAATAAGTGACATGAGGAACGCCAGTCCGCCCCACAGTTTCAAACTGGACAGTTTGGAGGTCGGGGGCATAGATTGGCAGGAGGGCTACAGAGTTTCCAAGGCTCGTACGTTTAGTTTTTAGTTCATTCCTGATTGCCATAGTTTGGTGAAATTTGATAAAAATTTGTAATTTTTTCAAGTTCGAGCGCGTGTGTGTTTGTTTGGTTTTGTGTGTGAGAGTAAGTGTTTGCATGTGTGTGTGTGTGTGTGTGTGTGTGTGTGTGTGTGTGTGTGTGTGTGTGTGTGTGTGTGTGAATTCAAAAGTAAACGTTTCATAAATAAACGTTAATTGTAAATAAGCAATAATTGTAACTTAACCAACCGACCAACCATCCAGCTAATCAACCATCCTACCAACTGAACAGTAAACAACACACCGACAACCTACCACCCCCACCACCACCACGACCACCACCAAATTTTTTATCCAGTTTGCCTGGCCCTCACTAGAAACCCCTTCGCCATGATTGGCCACCTCAACCACAGGACCGTATCCACCATTTTCGGCTTCACCACCACCTACCACATGCCTTATCTCACCATCTCGACTCCTTTAAACAGGTCGCACGTCAAAATGACGTCATCGTCAGCAGTTATGTCATCGTCGGCGTCATCATCAGCGTCAGCAAATCATCATCTTTATGACCTGGCCAGTTATGGAATGATCAGAAAACCTTACCATCGTCGCCAAGAAAACGATAATAGCAATAGCAACAAATACAACAACAACAACAACAAATACAACAACAACAAATACAACAACAACAAATATAAACACCCTTATTCAGTTTCGATGGGTGGCGATGATGATGATAATGATGATGAGGGTGATGATGGTGATGACAACTCTGATGACGTCTTCATCTTGCACATGCGTCCTTCTTACGACCGCGCCCTGATTGACGTCATCCTACATTACAAGTGGAATCACGTGTACTACGTCTATGATGATGTAGAAGGTTGGCTCGGAGTGAGTGAGGGAGTGAATGAATGAGTAAGTGAGCGAGTGAGTGAGTGAGTGAGTGAGCGTATGTGGGATGAGTGAGTGAGTAAGTGAGTGAGTGAATGAGAGTGAGTGAGTGAGTGAATGAGAGTGAGTGAGTGAGTGAGTGAGTGAGTGAGTGAGTGAGTGAGTGAGTGAGTGAGTGAGTGAGTGAGTGAGTGAGTGAGTGAGTGAAAAAAGGAGAAAAGTATGAATAAAAAATGAATGAATGAATGTAAGATTAGACAAATTAAAAAAACGGATAAATGAACGTTTGAATGAAGGAATGGATGTACAATACACATAAAAGTATATCTGAATGGTTGGGCGAATGACTGAGCGATGGTTATGAACATGAATATTCAAAAATTGACCAATAACAAAAAGTTATAATAAAAATCATAAAAATATGAAAAAAATGGATGACGTAGAGAATGACAGATGGAAGAATAAAAGATGGATGGAGGGATGAAATGTAATGGATGAAGAGATAGATGGATGGATAGATAAATTGGTGGATATACTATCAAATGAATGAATGAATTAATTAATTAAATAATTCATGAATGAATGAATGATTGAATCAACGAAAAACTCAAAAACAACAACAATGTAAACAACAACATCAACAATATCAACATCAACAACATCAGCAACGACAACAACAACAATAGCAACAACAACATCAACAACGACAGAGACGCTATATTGCATACTTTATCTAAGGCCGGCAGGGATTCACATCTTAAGAATAAAAAATTTAAAAATAACAACAACAACAACATTAACAACAACATCAACAACGTCAACAGCAATAACACCAACAATAATAGCAATAACCAAAAAAACTTACAATGAAATGGAAAATAAAAATGACGTCATAAAATAAAACCATCAGCAAACGAAATATTTCGAGAGAAAGAGATAGAAACAAAGAAAATGTCTAAATCAAGAGTTGTGCTGCAATGTTTTACGCCGAGTATTGTTTCCTTCTATTGAGTATCGTATCGTTATACCGCGTATCGTATCGTTATATCAAGTTTCGATATATCGAGTTTTCGATATGCTGAGTGTACCGATTATACACCGATATAATATTGAGTTTCGATATGCTAAAAAATGATTCGTTATAATGGAAACCATATCGCTATAGCAGGAATCGTTTCGCTATTGTAAAAAACTGGTATCGTTTGGTTTCGGTACCTTGCAGCTTTCAGACGGGAATTAACAATCATCATTAATGACGTCATAAACGACCGTCTTCTAGGCCGCTGTCAGATTTATTATTTTTCTTTTAATTTATTAATGTAATTATAATAATAATTATTTTATTATTATTATGTTTGTTATAATTATTTTTACAGAGATTTTTTCATAATTTACGAAATAAAGCACGCATTCCAAAAGACGTTCTAATGGTTGTTGATGTACGTCCTAACATCCAGTCAAAATTATCTCCATTTTCTCTACTTATCATTACCCTTTTCTTATTCACCATCGTCATCATCGTCGTCGCCATTCATCGGTTCATTCATTCATTCATTCATTCGTTCATTCATTCGTTCGTTCGTTCGTTCGTTCGTTCGTTCGTTCGTTCTTCTATCATTCGCACTCTTTTCATTCGTTTTTTTCATTTCTATTATTAAGATTGTTACCATTTAATAATAAAAAAAATAAAATAATAATAATAATAATAATAATAATAATTATTATTATTATTATTATTCTTGTTCTTCCATTCGTTTAACATACGTAAAACGCTTCGCCACAATAATGATAATAATGCCGTTATTTTTCACATTTTCCTTGCCGCCATCTTGTTTTTTTACTATCCGCCATCTTGTTTTTCTGCACCACCACACTATTTTGGTTTTCTTATTGGTGTGATTTTATTATTATTATTATTATTCCCTACCAAAATTTACGAGTTTCTTTATGTTACATTTTATCATTGTTAATAGTTCTTTTTGTTCTTTGTTTTTTGCTACGTCATTAATGCATTTTTTTCGAGTTTTGTTTTTTGTCGCTGATCATACTATGTCTTTATTGTTGTTTATACTGTTGTTACTGTTGCTTGGTCTTGTCAGCGATCGTTGTATTTTGACAGCAAAATGTTTTTATTTTTCTTTTAAAAATACGTGCTCCATTTTGTCTTTCTCTCTCTATCCTCTATTTCGTCTCATTTTTTTTACATTCCTGGCCGCTATTTTGTTTTTTTTATCACTGCCGCCATTTTTTTTCTCTCTTTCTTTTTCTCTTTCTCTCTTTCTCTCTCTCTCTCTCTCTCTCTTTCTCTCTCTTCACATTACTGACCAGTGAAGCGGCGTTGAATTAAAATGCGATGGAAATTAAGTTCATAGACTATGTGCTAGTTGAGTAGCTTCAACAACGGCACGACGACAACAACAACGATGGCGATTTAATCAGCAGCAGCAGCAACAACAACAACACAACAACAAAACGCAATCAACAAAACACAAACAACAATGACAACATTGACGAAACTTAGACAAAGATTACTCCACCCATACAAAGAAAACATTACTTGAACATGGATAACATCGTCGTCGTTAATAGCAACAACAATATAAACAACAACATAAACAACAACATCATTAAAACTAGCGACATAAACAACAACATACATGACCTTCGACTCTAAGCCCAATAAACTACAAAACATCCATATATGCCTGATATATAACTATATCGACTCAATAACAACAACAACAACAGACAATAACATTTATAACAACGACAATATGCATGATATATAACTATATCGAGGCAAATGCAACAACAACAACAAACAACAACAATGATAACAACAGCAACAAACAATAAGAGTCACAACAACAACAACAATAACAAACTTCATACTTGGTACGACCGTAATCTCTTCCATTGACAACAGTAACACCATTATAAATAGGAAAACCACGCCACACACACGCACAGGCATTCACACACTCACACACACACACGTACCCACGCACGCACACACACACACGTACGTACGCAGACACAAACACATACACACAGACACACACATAAAAACACACATTTTTATTTTCGTCACAAGCGTAATTGTGATGAAAGTAACGTAGTAATAAATGATGAAGGAGATGATGATAGTGATGTTTAGGGTGATGATGATGATGATGATAATGATAGTGATAATGATGATGATAATGATGGTGATGATGACAGTGGTGATGATGATGATGATGATGATAATCAGGTGGATGATTCGTATATGGTTTTGAGGCAGCTTGACCAGAAGGGTGAAACCGGTGTCGACAAATACATCGTCCTTGACCTTTCTACTGAAGAAGCCCTCATTTCAATTCTTAAGCAGGTTCGCCGTGATGATGACGACGATGATGGCAATGATGATGATGATGATGGTGATGATGATGACGATGATGATGATGGCAATGATGAACAACAAAAACAACAACAACAATAATAATAAATAATAATAGTGAATAATAATAATAATAATAACAATAAATAATAATAATAATAAAATGATCATCATCATCATCATCATCATCATCATCATCATCATCATCATCATCATCATCATCATCATCTATCTCTTCGTCATCGTTCACGTGCCTTTAATCGACCAATCGCAAAAATGCAATCATTACCATCATCATCATCTTTTCATCATCATCATCTACTGTTTCATCATCATCATCATCATCGTCGTCGTCGTCTTCATCATCATCGTCCAACTAATCCTGATTATTATCTTATTTTCATCGTCCGCAGAGCTTTTAAGATCTTTTTTTTGTTTCAAATGTTTCTGGCGTAATTTTATATCTATGTATGAGTTCTATGTTTGTGATATTTTTTTATCTATGTGTAGTTTGTATGTTCTTGTTTTTGTATTATTGTATGTTTTTGGGTTTGTTTGCCTATGTGTTTTTATATTAGTTTGCTAATATCTGTGTATGTGTATACGCATACAATAAAAACGAATGTATGTTTGTGTGTTTGAAAGTTTACAAACGCACATACATACATACAAACATTTTTGCATACATACAAACAAACAAACATACAAACACACATACATACGCGCACATAAAAACACATACATATAGACACACATAAACATACAAACATACGATATTTTTTTTTGTATGTATGTCTTTATTATTTCATTGTTGATGACGTAGTAGATCAACATTAATGGTAACCAAAGAATAAATAGATGCTCCATAGTTAATTCATATAAAGAAACATTTTTCCCTCTCTTTCTCACTGGACGGAAATAAACAATGATATAGCGCTTCATTTACTATTCATGCAAACGTATACAAAGTTATACAAACATACAAACGAAACATACAAACATATAAAGTCTTATTTGAATACTAACATACTCGCATACAAATATTTCTTCTTGTATGAATGTGCCATATTGTATAAAAAGTTTAATTAGGGGTCATTCGGGACTGCCACAGCCCTAACAAAATTTTTCATACAATTATGTATATACATACATACATAAATACACATACATAAATACACATACATATATACACATACATACAGACATGCCTGTATTTAATGATATTTTATTCATTTTAAATGATTGAGTGAATGTGGCATCCTTCAAGCAATTAGTCCAATCATTTTATTTTGATTCACTATTGTGTGTGTGCGTGTGCGTGTGTGTGTGCGTGTGTGTGTGCGTGTGTGTGTGCGTGTGTGTGGAAAAAAGAATAATAAAAATATCAACCAATACCTTTTCGGGAATTCGGAATTTACAAGATTATTTGAAGCAAACACAACAACAACAACAACAACAACAACAACAACAACAACAACAACAACAACAACAACAACAACAACAACAACAACAACAATAATAATAATAATAATAAAATGGTTAGCTATGAATTACTGCCCAGAGGGACGGGCATTCGTTTTATTCTTGGCGATGTTTATCAAATGCTGAAGATGATGATGACGAACATGATGACCACGGCGATGATTATGATGATTAAGATGATGATGATGATTAAGATGATGATGATAATTATGATGATGATGATGATGATTATTATGGTGATGATGATGTTAATGATGATGACGATTTCAGATCCAAGCGGTTGGTATGAACAGAGGTGGATACCATTACCTCCTCGGTGGACTGGTCAGTATCATCATCATCACCACCATCATCATCACCATCACCATCATTCGTTATCATCATCGTAGTTCTCCTCATTATCATCATTATCATCGTCGTCATCATCATTACCAACAACAACATCACCATCATCTTCTTCTTCACCATTTCCTCTCACTTCTGCTATCAGTCTCTCACCTCTTAAAAACAACACTCTCATCACCATCATCATCATTTTCATCATCATCGTCATCATCATCATTATCGTCATCATCATCATCATTACCAACAACAACATCACCATCATCTTCTTCTTCATCATTTCCTCTCACTTCTGCTATCAGTCTCTTACCTCTTACTCGTCCAATAACGAGACAATGTGCCCTCACTCAGTTGATATTGAATGTAGAAACCTGGCCATAAAACTCAACAGTTGCCGCTGGGCCTAATGATACATTTTTTTAATTACATTAAAACTTATTATTCTTATTGTTTTTGTTATTCTTGTTGTTATATAGTAGTAGTAGCAATAGTCGTCGTTATTATTATTATTAATTATTATTATTATTTTATTATTATTATCACTATTATTATAATTATAGTTATAATTATAATTTCGGTTACGTCATCTATGGGCAGGCCATAGATGAGATTGACATAGACGACTTCAAGCACGGTGGGGTCAACATTACGGGCTTCCTTCTCATTAACCGGTCAGACATTAAGATTGACTTGGCCCAGCGGGATTGGGCCAAACTCGGGGAAGGGCCCATTTTAAAGGTAAACGGACATTTTTTTAGAGGTGAACGAACACTTGTTTAGGGGTGAACGAACATTTGTTTAGGGGTGAACAAAAGTCTTATTTTTTTCAAATCAGATGAAATAATTTTTTCTAATATATAAAATTCAGATTTTAAAATTACTACCCGCCAGTTTATATCACAATGACAAGATGGCATTACTAACTAACAGTCGATGAAACCTCACACCATAGAACAAGCAAACATTCCCACCATAGAAGTTATATACCACCAAAAAATCCCACCACTCCACAAAACTGACACCAGCTGGAGCCAGCACTTGCCATGGATGCCATCTCAATCCTGACAAACGCATTCTCGAATATGCTGCAGTTGAACAACGACGAGTTCAGTGACGTCTTCAGACGCAATTACAACTTTGGGGACCAAAAGGTGGATGCCTGTATGGGCAACGTTACGGGACCCTGGATCAAAGGAGCCAGTATTGCTAGACATCTTAAAGAGGTCAGTTTTGTTGTGGTCATTTTGAATTTTAGGATTGTTAATTTTTTTCTCAATCATTTTTAATTTTCATAACCCTTAAACCGTCTTATTATCATTTGTATTCGTATTTGTATTTTATCAACCCTAATTAAAATTGATTATAAAAGCATTTTAAAAAATTTAACAAAATGAAAGTTAAAAATTGAAATATACCTCAACGTGCCAGCTGACCTACCCGGGCCTTACGGGTTATATATCGTTTGATAGGTGGGGATATAGGAAGGATTACATGCTTGGTGTCTATGAACTTAGCTTGAACAATGGGCTTAAACAGGTTTGTTGTGTGAGTGTGTGTGTTTGTTTGTGTGTGTTGTTGTTTGTGTGTTTGTGTGCGTGTTTGTTGTGTGTGTGTTTGTTTGTACATGTTTGTGGGTGTTTATTTGTTGGTGTGTGTTTCAGCTAACCAACCATCCTATCAACTAGCCAGCCAGCCAGCCAGCCAACCAACCAACCAGCCAACCAACCAACAAACCATTCAACAAACCAACCAATCAACTAATCAACCAACTAACCAACCAACCAACAAACTAGCAAACCAACAAACCAGCCAACCAACCAACCATCCAATCTACCAACCAACCAACCAATCAACCATCCAACCAACCAGATAGCCACATGGCACTACACAAAAGGTTTCGTAAAGACTGGAGTACCAGACGACACGCCAACGGCTGCCGATCTAAAACCTCTTGCCGTTAACAGAACAAGGATTGTTACTACAATCATTGTTAGTTGGATTTCTAGATGAATTAAGTGTAACATTTTTGGTGAATTAGGTGTTAAAACCAAAGGATGAAAAATTCAAATTGTATATAGAGACAATGTCTAATAAACTTTGAAAACAAATTTTGAACTTTCACGTGCATACATTCAGTACACACGGAAACACACACACACACACCACACACAAGCACGCATACACACATACACAAACACATACACACACACACAAACATGCAAATAATTGTGCAAACAAGACAAACAAACGACGACAATTTTCATGTACCTTGGACATACGGACTGCCTCAGAACTCTGATTTATATTGTACAGGCAGACTCATATGAATTGATAATTAGATGAAGTTTCTCATTAATGTATGTATGCGCGTGTGTACGTACACAATTTTAATTAATTGTGTACGTACGTGTGTATGTACGTGTGTGTGTATGTGTGTGTGTATGTGTGTATGTATGTGTGTGTGTATGTTTGTGTGTGTGTATGTTTGTGTGCGTGTTTGTGTATGTAGGAGTTTGTGTGTATGATTAATGTTACGTCACTCAAATCAATTGCAAATTACGTATTTCATATGACGAGATGACGATTTTTTGTATAAATATCGATCACATTGAACTTGAACAGGACACACGCACACACACACACACACACACATACATACATACACACACACACATACACACACACACATACATACATATACGCAAACATACATACATACGCATACAAAATACTTGTGAAAATCGGCTTAGATAGATTGCTGCTCAAAAATTTAATCTTGTTTCTTTTCTATTTTGTTTCCCGCCATTTTTTTTATTTTCCTGCCATTTTCCCGCTCTTTTTATATCTTTTTTTACTTCAATTTATATCCTTTGTTTTGTTTTTCGATAGAGAATAAATTGCAACTTTTTTCTAGTTGATAAATAAATAAATAATAAGATAGGGGAATAAATGAATGAATAAATGAATAAATGAATGAACGAACGAACGAACGAACGAACGAATAGACAATTAATAGTAGAGGAATAATGAACATGTATATATTTTTTAATTAATTTTTTAACCAATTAAATTTTCTCATTTAACATCAGCTCTATCAAAATAATATTTATTTCTAGAGCCCACCGTTCCTATCCTACAAAAAAAAAATCGAAGACGACAAAGCGGCGACTTCAACGGCTACAACCAGCGACCCATCAAGCCAGCAGGCTATCGGGGCAAACAAATTTGAGGGCTACTGTGCCGAGCTAACAGCCACACTTGCCCAAAAAGTCGGCTTCAACTACGAGCTGAGGCTTGTAGCTGACGAGAAGTATGGAGCTAAGACGGATAATGGGACATGGAATGGGATGGTCGGAGAGCTGACTACAAAGGTGTGTGCGTGTGGTGTGTGCGTGCGTGTGGTGTGTGCGTGCGTGTGGTGTGTGCGTGCGTGTGTGTGTGTTGTGTGTGTAGGATTATTAGTTGGTTGACTCATAAATTGTCTAAATGATTAAGCTATTACGTGACGAGTCAATCAAACAGTAGAACCAATTAAAATTCTCGTCAACGTTTCTGAAAATTTTCAAACAATTTATCCACTAGTTTAAATTAGTATAAGATGACATTAATTGACGTTAATTAGTATTAAATTGTATTAATTGGTATAAGTTAATATTATAAGCTACTGAGTAGTACCAAATAGAATTAATTAGCATAAATTAATACCCCTATATCATTTTAATACTTCTGGTTGGGTGAAAGCTCTTAATTTTCATCGTGAACTCCTCAGAGGATTCTACATAATCATTCAGAAGATGTTCGTCTGGCATTCTCGTGGGAAGCTGTTCTGCAAATGCAAATTTCAACGTCGGGAGAAAATTTGGGAAGAGGAAGAGAAAAAAAAGTTTAAAAAAGAAGAAAAAGAAAATAAAGTTTATGTAAAAATTGACAAAAATGTCAATATAAAATGAAATGAGACGTGAACAATAATAAAAGAAATTAAGAACCAAAAAATTGAAGAAAAATTATTGGGAAAAAGAAAAATTGAACATAGGAGATTAAAATCTTTTTATTTAGAGTAAAAAAAGTTCAATCAAAATAAAAATGAAAAATTGAATGAGAAAGAGAGAGAGAGAGAGAGAAAGAGAGAAATTTTAATAATGATGATGATAAAACCATCAAAGTGTCAGATAATAAAAGACCGAGTTTCTAAAAAGATGTCAGAAAATTTAATAAAATAATTTCTTGAAAAGTTTTTTCTTCTTTTTTGTCTAAAAAACGATTTCGCATGGAGTCTGCTCTTTCAACAAAATGAAATCATACATTCTCGTGTGCAAGAAGAATTTGACTTGAATTCAAATTAAAGTTTCGCGTTCAATCAAAAATTAAATTCAAAAAATCGGACCGAAATTTTGAAAAAATTTAAACATCGAATCTTGAAACTCATTCAAGCACACATTTTCAAACATTTTCGTGCAATTAAAAAATTAATAGCTAAAACACTTGATCACAAACTTACTGCTACAACATTACAATCATTCCCAACTTTGAAACTTGACCACCAGGTTGCAGACCTAGCCATAGCCCCATTGACTATCTCGTCCATCAGAGAACGAGTCATAGATTTCAGCAAGCCCTTCATGAATCTCGGAATTTCTATAATGATCAAAAAGCCGGAGAAGCAAAAGCCAGGAGTCTTCAGTTTCATGGATCCTCTCGCCTATGACATCTGGGCCTGCATCGTCATTTCATATCTGGCGGTCAGTTTCGTCCTCTTCTTGGTCAGCAGGTTCAGTCCGTACGAGTGGCAGACAGACGACAACAACAACACAAATTACGACAACAGCAAAGACATCGGGTCAAATTTTGCTGACGGGTTCGGCCTGGCTTCACCGACTGCCAACCAGACAGCTGTTGTTGTGCCCAGTTACACCAATGATTTCACAATTCTTAACAGTTTGTGGTTTTCCCTGGCTGCTTTTATGAGGCAGGGTTGTGATATTTCGCCGAGGTCAGTTGGTTTGTGCGTTCGTTCGTTTGTTCGTTCGTTTGTTTGTTTGATGGTTAGTTTTGAAGATGTGTGTGTACCCGCGCGTTAACGTATTTTTGTAGGATTGTGGCTTAGTGAGATTTCCTTTTATTCTGGTAGAATGAAAGCGAAATTTGGATATGATCGCAAGACGTATGATGATAATTTCTAAACGATCAACTCAAGTTTTTAAAAATTGATTTTTTTTTAACAAAAGCAAAGCAAAAGTACGATTTTTACACACATCCATCCACACATCCACTCTTTCATCCATCCATTTCAACTTCCCACTCTACCAGATCATTATCAGGACGGGTAGTGGGCAGTGCGTGGTGGTTCTTCACCCTGATCATCATCTCATCCTACACGGCAAACCTGGCAGCCTTCCTGACAGTTGAGAGGATGTTGACCCCGATAGAGAGTGCTGATGACCTCAGTCAGCAGACTGAAATTCTCTACGGCACTTTAGAAGCTGGATCTACAAAAGATTTCTTCAAGGTTTGGATTTTGGAAATTTGTATTTTGGAAATTTGGATTTGGAAATTTGGACTTTGGAAATTTAAATTTTGAAAATTTGGATTTGGTATTATGTTTTTTTTTTAATTTTGGATCTGGAAGGCTGTTTTTTAATTTTGGATCTGGTAGTTTTGGTGGGGTTTGGATCTTGAAATTTTGTTTTTTTGAGATGTTTGATATAGTAGTTTGTCCTCTAGTCTTCTGGTTAGCTCAGTCGGTAGAAGTGTTGTATCTCGCGCTGAATATGTGATCATTTTTAAAAATAGGTATGCATCAGTGTTTCACTGAGTGTATAAATTGTAATTAATTTTATTAAACTTGATTGAATATAAAAATTTAGCTTCTGAAATTGTCCATACATGTGTGTGTGTGAGTGTGAGTTTGTGCGTATGTGTGTGTGTGTGTAACTAGGTAACTAAATATAAAACAACGCAGAAAAAAGTTCTTCTAAAGAAAAAAAGCTTTGTCATACAAAACCTAAAAATATATTTAAATTGAATCATATCACATTCAACAAACAAACCAACAAACGAACGATCGAACAGACTAACAAAAAAAACAAAAATTACTCGTACGAATAAGCGAGTATGACAATAAAAAACCAGTAACAACATATTATTTTCATCTCCGTGTATCTCATCTCTAATAAAAGATTAGTTCCCAGAGCACGCATGGATTCTCACAGAATTCATTTATCCATTCACTCATCCAATCATTCACTTGCTCACTCATTCATTCATTCACTTTACTCAATAAGTAAAGTAATTAATCTCACTTTTACTTTAGTCTGACTTAATTAAGTCGTTGATTTGTATTTCTGTTTGGAACTAACTACAATAAAAAATTTGTTTCAACAGAGTATTGTGTCTGAACGTGAAAATGTGTTTTTGTTTGTTTTGTTGGTTGGTTTTGGCGTTTTTGTTGATTAGTTGATGGTTAGCTGGTTGGTTGTTTGATTGAGTTGTTGTTAATCTTATAACCAAATTTAAGCAGCTAGACATGAGACAAATATAAAATCTTCTACCGAATTCGTTTTTCAATTCTGAAAATTGTGAAAATTTTCCACTAGGGAAGAGTTTAAATCATTTGCAAACAAGACAGTTCAAAAGACATTTGTATTTGAAACGACTTCAACATGTCCTTCAAAATGTGGAGTGAAAGAACGAACGAACAAACAAACGAATGAATAAATGAATGAATGAATGAATAAATGAATGAATGAATGAATGAATGAACGAATGAACAAATGAATGAACAAATGAATGAATGAGTAAATAAACAAATTGACAGAGAGAATGAAAAAATATTTCAAAACGTAGGCATCTATTTTCAACCGCTAGCTAATCAATCATATTTTTTTCATAGTATAGTTCAAGTCTTATAACAACATTCGAAAACTGAGACAAACCAATATTTGTATTTATTTGGCAGTCAGTTTAGCAAAAAAAAAAGAATTTTTCACGTAAAATAATTCCTTCTTTCGTTCATTCATTTGTCCCATCGTACAAGCATCCGTCTTTCCATCCATGCACTCATCCATATATTTTTACATTCATTCATTTGTTCATTCATTTACCATCCATTCATCAACTCACCCATCTAACTGGATAATCGAACCATCTTTTTTTTCACTCATCAATTCACTCGTTCCCTCAGTCATTCAGTCATTCATTCATTCATTTACTCACTCACTCACTCACTCACTCACTCACTCACTCACTCACTCACTCACTCACTCACTCACTCACTCACTCACTCACTCACTCACTCACTCACTCACTCCACTCATTCACTAACTAATTAATTAATTAATCAATTCATTCATTGGGTCATTCAATCATTCATTCGTAGAACTCGAAAATTCTGATCTACATGAACATGTGGCAGTTCATGAGTACACACCCAGATGTTTTCGTCAAAACTACAGAAGATGGCGTTTCTAGGGTCAGAAACAGCAAAGGTATAATCACCACTCCTACTACTACTACTGCTGCTGCTGCTACTACTATTACTGCAGATCTTACTACCGCTACTATTACTGTTATTTAATAGTTACTAATTTAAAACATTCAAATTTACTCATTCACTTATTCACATTCAATCATTCTCATTCAATCATTCACTTATTCACATTCAATCATTCACTCATTCAATCATTCATTCACTTATTCAATTATTCACTCATTCATTCCTTCATTATGTTTCCTTCCTTCGTTCATTCATTCACGCATCTCCAGGTAAGTATGCATTCCTGTTGGAATCCACGATGAACGACTACTACAACCAGAAAAAACCCTGTAACACCATGAAGGTTGGCAGTGACCTTGATTCCAAGGGCTACGGAGTTGCTACCCCTATCGGCTCTGATTTGAGGTTTCTACATTTGTTGATGATGTGATGTTGTTGTTGTTGCTGCTACTGCTGCTGTTGTTGTTAGATGTAGTTGTTGTATCTTTTAAACATCTAACCAAATAGTTTTTTTCCAAAAACCAATTTAAGTAACGATAAAATTTACACCCCCCCCCCTTTCAAACGAACAGGGAGCCCATAGGGCTAGCCATACTACAACTTCTCGAAAGTAGCTACTTGCAGAAACTTCACAAAAAATGGTGGTACGACAAGGGCGAATGCATTCCGGAAGATACAAAAGTTCGAGAAAATTTTTGTTGTTTTAAAAGTATCCGGTAATGAACACTTATTCCGGATTTTGATTTAAATGTGACGTCATTCATTCATGCACGTTATTATTGGCTGAATTAAAATTTTAAAAGGTTTAAATATTTTTGACAGGGCGGAAGTTCGACACAGAGCGCATTGACCCTGAGTAATGTGGCGGGAATATTCTATATTCTGATTGGCGGACTGGGCTTGTCCATGCTGACGTCATTGCTCGAGTTCATTTACAAGTCTAAACGGGAGATACTCAAACAAAAAGTTAACGGATATATTTTCTGTTTAAAATTCGTCCAACATTTACAAGCCTCCATCCGATCTTTTCATACTAACTCTAAATATTTAAAAAAAATTTGAAATTGAATAAAATACACAATAAATATACAAACAAAAATTACACAAACGTAATAAACAAACAAACAACAAACCAGAAAACCTTCGC